GGGCAATAAAAACACTTCACACCTTAAGTGAAAGATACGACTTTAAATATTTTACACACATTCTGCATATGCAATTTATCCACACCTGGCTCTTAGGAGCAACAACATCTGGTAGCTGTTGCTTTAGAGGCAATTAATTCTTCATCCAAGCGACCAGGGTCCTCTCTGAAAATGTGGGAGAAGGACTTATATGTTACTTAGATGAGTAGAAATGTTATTAGATTAGATTGCAGTACAGCAGTAATCAAAGTAATACAGAATGGAGAGCCAGTTTCACTTGCAACTTTTGCCATGTTGGAAAAAAAATTATAATAAAAAAGAATTTGGTATATTATTGCTATGGCATCTCAATTTTGAATTAATTTCTCAGCATTTAAGGTTAAAAATACTAGGAATTTATTTTAAATTCAGTTTTAGGACTGATATATTTTGCAGACGAGTGCATTCACTAATTTAAAAAAGCAAGACAACAATGACAAGAGTTAGAAATGTTAATCTCTTGCAAGGCAAAGGAGCCTGTGACTTTCTACTAATGAATTTAATTGATAGATAGGTTAATTTAGTGCAATTATGGAGGGACACATGACCAAAAAAAAAAAAAAATTCTGGGTAATGATGAAAAATAAGTATGTGTTAATGCCTGAAGAAAAAACTAAAGCAAAGATTTTAATATAGCTTAAAGTGACTGAGTAACTGCTGAGTTAATACTTTTGGCTGTAAACATTTAGGTTGATTAAACTACTTTGACTTCATCAGCAACTGACCTTTGAAGACACTAAATAAAACTGGTCATCATGATGGAGTTAAAACAACACCTAAGTGGTATATTGAGTTTATGTTGACTTGTGCCGGAAATCACCACTTTCCTGTTGTCTGAATGGCCTTAAACATTTACCTTCCTTCTGCACGGATGTGATTTCTTTATTTATTGCTCTCTTTTCCCATGAAAATGAAAGTAGATTTGGACTTCAATACTAAGTGAGAACTGACCTGCATTCCCACGTACTGCATAACAACAGGGGGGGGACCATATTACCATATGTGACATGTGTTTACTGTGACCAAACTGCCACCAAGGCCTGTGCCCATGGCATGGATGTGAGAACCACAGCAAAGACATGTTGACAAGGTTATAAAAGAACAAAACAGTCCTCTGTCAGTGAGAAAGAACAGGGAAATCAGATGTTTCTAAATGTGCACCAAAATAAAAGCTTCTGTTTTGAGAAAATTTTACAGTTTAAGGTCAGTGGGGTAAAAAAAGAACTTGTTTTGGTGAAGAAAAATGATTGAAACTTTCCACAGGGCAGGTTCAGTCATAATGTACTTCCTGTCTTCTGTCTGTTTGGGTTTAGCTGCCATTTTAGTGACCAAACAGCTAAGGCCCAGGAGCAGGTGAGGTTAAACTACTGTAATCCCAGTTCCTGTTTGTTTGGAGGGTGGGGTTAAGGTGTTAGATGGACACTGGTTGTACTGGCTGTTTATCATAAACACAGCCTAGCCCAGAGAGGTCCATCTGCTTTGATTTTATTTAGTGATTCCCCCCAGGGGCCCTGAGCTGGAGCAAGAATAACAATACTTGAGCCCATCTGTTCCTGTAGAACCAGCCCCAGCTAAATTACCACACGCTACGAGCGGCTGGCATATGCTGTGGCATAAAGCTACAAGAGGGCATTGTGTGCCAGCTGTTCTGTTGACAAATACTTATCTGGCACTTCTGAAGTCAGCTTGCTAAGCTGGTTTCAAGTTTGACTAAAAACTAAATGGGGTAGGGAGAGGATCCTGTGGGGGAGATGCATGTACTGTATAATACATGCTGATACCCCGGATTGTCCCTGGGTATCGTTTAGTCATAGACTGTCTAGGGAACTGGGTCACTGGATGTAGATTTAATCTGAACATATAGGGTAGATAGAAGACTAAAACCAACCATGTGGTCAAAACAGACTATAGGCCTACTTAATCTTTCTCATCCCTCTATTAGCAAACAGGCTCTGATCATATTGCTGTTATATGTTTACAAGTCAGTGGATGATCACTGTGTCAGATGCCTAAATTGGGCTTGATCACAGTAATCCTATTAGCACAGAGCCTGATCTTTCTAGGGATGAATAACACACACACTGAAAAACACACCAGAAAACCAGGTTTGACAAAGATTTACTGCTACAGCCTCCAAACCCTTGCTATATAATAATATACAGTAATTATTATAATACACTTAAAATATAACAGTGCAAAATGCTATCAGCAACCACAGAGCATGAATATGAAACGTGACAGGTTTGTGCTACCCTAGCCACTAACATCAGTGCTTTTCTGGCTGTATTCAGGTTGTATTAAATAAAAACACAACGCAGTCAGTTCATTACTGTAAGTTTGTTTCTTACAGGTTCTGATATAAGTTTTAAAAACCGTGTTCACATGTAGTAACCCTTTTTTAGCAGCATCAGCAACAAAATCCAGAAAACAACAGTCCAGAGCAGGACTTGCCGCAGTATACTGTAACAACCTGTTGAAGGATTAACTAAAATGATTAGAAATTACTCAGGATTAACTGGCACAATATTTTGGGAGTTTTTTTTTTTTTGGTTTGTCCCACATTGTGTGCATCAATAGACATGCACTGTGCAGGCTTAATGGCCTAAGCACAAGTATGTAAAACAGCTATTTATGTGGTCTTTTATAAGTAGCTAGAAGGCAGGGAACGCTGAAAATGTACATTCAACTTAAGGCAGTGTTAAAAGTTTGAACATTTCAAGTCCCTTGCACCTCTGAGCATATATTAAGAGTGACATCATGATGTACTTCAGCATCAGTTTAGCCAGTGATAAGTTGTGTTTTTAAAGGGAATTTTTGGTAAATTAGTCCTTTCATTTCTCATGGGTCTTTCCCTGTTTTTGCTGCAGATTGTATCCCTCAAAGTTATTTGCTTAAGTAAAATAGTAAGTCCATGTTACTGACATTCTAGCATTCCACAGAAGTAGCTGGTTTCAAAGTTATATCAACAGTTAAAATGAACATTTTTTTTATTTTTAATCAATCCATCATGGCAGTATATGTTTTATATGCAATTGGACCTATTAATTATCCATTCAAAACACTACTCTATTCACAGAACGTGTACTATCTGTCATGGCTTTGCATCCCCCCTGATGTCACTGTACTGTGTAAGTGAAATAATTCATGAAAAAGTGCCCTTTACTTACTGCACATAAGAAAATAGAATTTATAGATAGAAGCACACTCAGTCCTGCAAAATACACAATGTATCATCACACCATGCTGCTACCTTTCTCAAATTTATTCACAACATGTAGCCTTCAAAATTGGCTTTATTTTGTTAACATTTACAGGAACACCACTGACATTAATTTTCCACTCATTACATATGTCGATACTGTACAGATGCAGCAGAAAAAAAAATTGAATCCCATCGTCCGTTTTGAGACTCCTCTCATAGAGAACAAGGCTCAAGTCAGTGACAAGCTTCAGCAGTGCATAAAAGTTCACACAGGATGTCCTTTGATCTCTGGGGTAGTGCAAACAACCACACAGCAAAATAGAAGTTGTCATCTGGAGCCTAATTTATGAAACACCCTTGCACACTTTTTTACTCACAACTAAATCCATTGTTAAGTTGTGATGTAGGAAAAATATATAATGCTGATGCCACCATCTGCAGTTTATTGATTTTATCCAACGTTGTGTGTTATATGAAAAAAGAAAACCACTACTACTACATCTCAATTCAAGGTGTGACTGGTATAGTTTAAGTATTCTGTAAAACTGGAATACAATAGAATCAATTCGTAAGCTCTGAATGTGCTAAATTTAAATACATATATGTGGTGCCTTGAGGTTGCCAGCCTTGTACCTCTCTACACTGTTCATTGTGTCACTATTAACATTCAGTAGTTGAGACTGCGTAAACTATAAAAACTCACTTCAATATACAGTGAAAGAGGCCAAGGAGTACCCAACCCTTACAGTATTATCAACCCTGTCATTTCTCAAAGATAATAACATGATTAAAATATAATAAACATTCTTTTTCATGTGGGGCATGGCTGGAAACACTGCATGTCACATCTCCATGAAAGACAGCAACAGTCAATACCTGTTTCTCTTCCATAGGAAATCAGACGAGCAAAGAAAGGGCTTCATAAACATAAAATATAATTTTGATTTAGTCATTAGTCACAATGTGTCAGACACCAAAAAATACTGCATGTGAAATTCCTCACACCACACACTCTTATTTCAAAGGAAACTGCCAGTATTTTACTTCACTGACCCTATGAACACATGGAGTGCTTCGCCAACCAGCTTTACAACAGGAGCCATTGTACAAGTCCCCCTTCATGCATTTATCTGGCACCTACCCTGTATTAGCAATGCAGGCCATTCTTTATAGCTACAGAGGGGAAGCAAATTTGTATTCTGTAACACAAAACTCTGATGTCTACCAACCAATAAATTAGCACTTGCTGTGACTTCCGATGGGAGAGAGAGAGAAAAAAAAAGCAGCAAAACCTAAATGTTTCCTGATAGGTCAACTTGAGAATAGAACAAAAGTGCAGCACTGGTTGAGCAAGTATGCAGTAACACATGAGACTTTTAAAATGGCTACATCTGTTTCTGCAAAACATATACTACAAAGACATTTTACACAGTGTGATGGGGAAATATGCAGACCAGTTCACAAAGAGTGGAACACTCTTCTTAATGCAACTGCACAGTAGGTTGGCATCTATACTGTTGATGTTACTATCTGGAGAAATCTATGCTAACAGATTTTACGCAAGTTTTAGACCAGTACACACAGGCTGGATGAGGATTTGAGCACTGCATTGTTTCTTTAATGTGGTGTTATGGAAAGCTCCCATCTTTTACAGTGATTAAGAATAGCAGGCCTCCTCTTTTCTTAAGGTAAATGAGGTGGCTAAGACCCTCCCCCTAGCTCATCTTGTTTTTGTTGCATGTTTTCACAGCCTGAAGTGTCATCCACCACCAATGCTCAGCTGTGAAACACAGGGAAGCTACATAGGATTACATGAAGAACACAACACTTCAACTAATGCACAGTGCAAACAGGCCCTCTCTTCCATCTCTCTAACCTGTAGAGATGGGCAGGTAGTGAGGAGAGGTTTGGTGGAGAGGGTTAACTTTGGATCTGACCCATGCTGACAGGCAGCCTTTCTTCTTTAAAGTTTATTTTGCCTTTTTGGTCTTTCTGGGAATCTCCTGCCCTGAAGGAGGGGAGGCGGTGTGGCTATGGGACAGAAATGGACGGGCAAGTTTTTGGGGAGAGCATTCTACTTGTACAGGCTCATGGTTGGGCTCTGGTACATGCACATGTACGCATCGCACAGCAGGCGTCGGGCCTGGCCCTGAATGCTTTTGGGATCCAGGGCATGCAGCTCCTCTGGGGTCATTTTTAGATAGGCTTCCACCTCTGGACAGGGAGATACCTGGGGGATGTTGAAACCATTCTGCCCTCCTGCAGAGTTATTAGAAACAGCATCATAATTGGTGGCAGCAAAGCCTAGGGTAATTCACAGTCAAAAGTAACTGAATTCTAGATTAACAAATCAAGTCAAATCACAGTGTTCTAGTAGCTGCCAATTGCAGATATGATTAAATAAAATAACAGTTATAGCTGAATCCATTACTAAATGAATCATTAAAAATTAATTAGTACCTAAGTGTATGATTTATATTCTAAGCAAAAATTCCACAAACTGTGTAGTTCCAGCTTCCAGTTGTGAATCATTACTGCTTTGAATTGAATCTTACGTTACATAATTCTTTTTTCACTGTTTTCTGACATTTCAATGATCAAACAAATAATCGACTGACTGTAAAAACAATCAGCAGATTTATTTTTAATCAGTTGCAGTTTGATATTAACAATAAAAAGTTAACCTCTCTCTCAAACTTTTATTGTATTGCAAACAATTAACTTGGCTCAAAATATAAACTGTAATTTAAAGTGCATAAATTTTTTGTGGTGATAATTAATAGTCTATTTTTAATCAGACCCCTGAGGTCTTATACATCTACTGGTCTTACCGCTATGTCAAGGACTTTGAAGCACTGTTTTTAAAAAGTGGCTTATAAATAAAGATTATTATTATTTATTATTACTAAGTACTATGAAATTCCTTGACCAGTGTTGCAGTTTAGCCATACATACCCTGGACAACAACTTCATTTCTAAGATCAGTTTGATAGCAGAACAAACACAACATCAAAAGGCCAGACACCCACCGTCACGGTCAGCCATGCTGTCGAAGAAGAGCCAGGCAGAGTCTGCGCTGCCGTACTTGACAAAGGCCACATAGTGACTGGTCTCGATGCACAGCACAGCGAACAGCGCCATCCTTTGGCGGGGAAAACTGCCCTGCCGTCCCATACCTTCTTGTAGCTCTTTGGGGACAGACAGTTTTCCATGCCGATGGGCTTTCCGCCTTGGGTGGAGGTGAACCTAATCAGTACAGGCAGATACACACCATCACATGAGCTGCTTGTTATTGGGGCACCTTGCATTGGTGTGTCATATAACACCTGGTTTAGAGATCAGAGCAAATAAAAACTTTGAAGTACATTTTAGGAATAATATTGCCAGATGAGCAAAATAGGTATAAATCCAATATTATTTCAGGAAATGCACTGAATAAAGTTTATTCTCTCACTGAAGAATGAAAATGAACTGATCATGGGTTACAACGTACTGCACTGAGGCAATATTATTCCTTTGGATTTGGCGCCACCAAATGGAATCGTGGTGACACACACACTTACAACGTTCTGCTTCTGTTGAGCTAGTGCTGCAACAATGCCCCCTGTTGCTTACCTGTGTATTGCACTTCTCACAGAACTGTTTAATCTTGCCAGCGGTGATATCCCCGTCCTCATAACAGTCTCGACACTCGTAGAGAGCCAAGCCTCCACAGATTCGACATTCCCTTGGAGCTGGATAATAAAACACATACCTTTATTAAAGCTGGCATTTTGCACACAAGTGTAGTTCTTTTATAAGTTAAGGGCAGGTTTGAAAGCAAGAAAAAAGGATTCCTTCATCTCAGCTGAGTTGCAGTGACAACTGTGAAATTTCATTACCAAGTGGCACACAACTCTGAATCACCATTGATCGGAAAAAATGCATTACACATACAGACTGGAAAAAAAATTGCTGAAACTCACTGTCTTCAAGAAGGTCTGTGATGTCTAACTCTAGTGAGGGGAAAATCTTGTTAAACATTTTGAAGTCTTTGCCAAAGCGGGGCATCTGGATGATAAGGCAGGAGGGAGCCTGGAGGGACAGGGAAAACAGAGAAAGAGAAAACGTATGCAGTCATCAACAAAGCAGCAAGGACATTTCGACAAAGCTCAGGGCACAAACAAACTGAAACCTGAAGCCAAAGGGTCACAGATCACATTACAAACCTATGTAATTCAGTTTTTAAAAGTAAAGAGAGATACTAAATAAAATGGATCCTTGAAAATTAAAAGCAACAATATGAGAATATGAATTTCAAATTCAGTGATTTATATTCTACATTTATTGTCAAAACTAAATGTCTAATCAGAAGTGCAAGCTTCTTTTGATTTGGAAAGTGTCATATAGGACTGTTGTTGGCTCACACTCAGTCCTATAATCTGATGAGACAGTGAATGAACATACTGTAAGTATTGGACATTATGTATTGAAGGTTTTTTGTTCTTTAGCCCCTGTGTTTCAGCACATTTGATTTGAAATAATAACAATAATAATAATAATAATACCTGTGGTCTAGACTGTATTATTTTACAAAACATTATTTTTTCTTTCAAACTTAAAACTTACACTCCACACTAAGCTTAATGTTTTCTAAACCCGAATCCATCTGCCTAAAGGCTACAGTAAATCAAAGCAACTATAATCTGAATATGAGATTATGGCAGCATACAGTTTGAACTGTTGGAATTACACAGCATTTCTTACTCAGGTTTAAACCCTGATCACATCCTATTGTTTGTTCTCTTTTTAATTTCTTTGAATTTTTGAAATTAACACAGTTTATTATGTGTAAAATATATGAAAAAATTTCAATTTAAAAAAGTGTTCAATAATATAAACAGTTGGTTCAAAGACCTGACAAAGGTCCGACCATATGTGATGTGGTAATTTATAAACAAGTGGGAACGACTGTACCAAACCAGAATGAGCAATTAGTTCAGCCTAACAAATTAAACCACAACACCTCATTACCAAAAGTTTTACTTTACTCATGCTATCCTGGTAAATAAAAAATAATGAAATTCACCTCTGCAAACTTTAAGTCGCTGTTGATGAAGGACCACTCTAGGAGCTGCTGGATGGTAGGGACTCCGACCTTGTCCTTCTTGTCCATAAAGATTTGATAAAAGTAACAGTCCTGGACCTTCTGTCCAGCTGATCTGAAGAACAACCTCTAATCATTTATTATGTTTTATTCACATCCTCAATTCTCATGAGACAAATACAACAGAACATCAAATGAACTTTCTGAAGTACTTACTAGTGATATTAATAGGCTTTAGATCACAATGATAACCTATTAGATCTTATTAAATTAGGAAATTCATATTTAATTTTTTCAATGAATACACTTAGACCAACAAAGAGCTTGACTTTACATTTACTGTCCTGAAATATGTAGTTTTCTCTACCAGCTGTATCATGTCCCTCATAAACTATGCAGGCTACAACTATATAAACTATTCATGTCTGACAGGTAAGGTTAAACTAGTGTTCTCCTCAAATCCAGTCAAATAAATGTCATCTATTCAGTGCTGACCCACTGATTCATTTCATCATTACCTTTCAAACTAAAGCAAGAACCCAGGATCAACCTTTTTTTCTCAGTGTGAATGAGTCAACATGATACAGTTTTGCAACTGTATGAGTCTGTCCCTGCTCAGCTTCAGAATGAAAGGGTGAATCAGGGTTTTGCTAAGTTTAGGCTTACTACAGAAATACTATCAACAGCCCTATTGTGCAACAAATTTGGATGATGACATCTGGCGCTCTAAGACATTAATTCAGCCCATTTGACCTGCAGAGATCTTTGAGCATGACTACAGTGGGAGTTTTCATAATGTAACTAAAAAAAACTCCTACAGTTAAACCACATCACCCACATTACTATTAAAACTGCTGTGTAAGCAGCAGAAGTGAAACTTTAGTTGGCTGTGTAAATCTACATATTACAGACTTTAGACACAGTCTGGTGTATTTGGGTGGTGCAGCAGTGCAGTGGTTAGCGCTGTCACCTCACAGCTAGAAGGTTCCAGGTTTGAGCCTTTCTGTGTGCGGTTTGCATGTTCTCCCTGTGCCTGCGTGGGTTCTCTCCGGGTACTCCAGCTTTCTCCCACAGTCCAGAGACATGCAGCTTAGGTTGACTGGAGACTCTAAATTGCCCCCAGGAGTGAGTGTATCTAGCCACAGGGGTTTCACGCCAGTGACTTCAGTGCCGATCCCAAGCCCGGATAAGTAGAGAGGGTTGTGTCAGGAAGGGCATCTGGCCTAAAAACGTGCCAAATTTACTCATTTGAATCAGATTCGCTGTGGCGACCCCTAACGGGAGCAGCTGAAAGTTGAGTAGTAGTAGTAGTAATAAAGTAGTAGTGATATATTTCTGTAGTTTACCGGTGATGCGTTTGGGAATCTATCTGCAGGGTCTAGGATGTCTCAGAGATATTCATCATGCTATGTCACACCTACTGTATGATTTGTGCATAAAAAGGAATAACTTATTATTAAACCATTTCTGGTTTTTCTTTCATGCTATAATACCAGCAAATTAAAAATTACTATAAAACAAAGTAGCAATCAGTTTCATTAATAAGAATATGTCATCATTTCAAGACTGTGCCAAAGAGGTTTTAGGATTTTCTTTTTTACCTTAGCTTGAGCAATGGATCCACCCTCAATATGTGATGGAAAAGGATATTGAGGAACTCCTCAGGATCTACAGTACAAGATGGATTTCAATAAGATTTGAGAAACTTGGATGTAACATTCCTGTGAAAATGCAACCAAACAGTTCAGACCAGAGTATAAATTTCATGATGGGAATACGGCCATGGCCATCGTTGCACTTGCCCTCTGTAAATGATTCCTCATGATCAGGTAGGTGTGTGCTTATGGATGTATTAAGGAGAATTGAGTTTAATGAAGCCTGAGAGTGCTCATACTGTATAAGTTGGCATAATATATTGAAGAATTTAATGTCATTCACTCTTTAATCACTTTTAAAAAAGGTTGGTGAAGTTCTGTGCTTTACGTTCGCTATATCTACAGTATGTGCTATTTTAGCTCAGAAAGACGTGCATCAATTAAGCTAGCAGTGCTACATGTAAAACACCCAAGTCTGTAAAGTTTTTCCAAGTTTGACTTAGTTAGCAGATCAATATTTGGTTCTGTCTTTAAGCTATGAGAAAATCCAGAGGCTGTAAAACATTACATGTAGTGTTGAAATGTACTGTTTATTTCTGTGTGTTATTTGGAATATCGCATATGCTTAATAATATGGTCAGTAACAACGTAGTGTATGTAAAAGCAGACGTTACACTGTACATCATGATGCCTGAAGAGAATATAATCGTTGCACCAGTTATAATAATTAAGACAAATTAGACATCCTTTCCTCCATTTTATCCTTAATACATCCATGTTTCTTTCAACCCCATGATCTTAAGCATCATCAGCAAAGAGCAACAACAGCTCAGTATACCTTTGAGTCCTCTGATAGCACCATTTACTATCCAAATTGTAACAAAGGTACACAGCTACACTACAACTACCAATGCAGCAGCATGTAATATCTCTGCATATTCCCCTTAAAAGTTCTACGAGCATCTGCACTTTAATTTAAACATGTATGTTGTGAATGCCAAACCCTAGTTTGTAACTACTGCTCAGGCTGTAAGCTATGCACATACAGTAAATGTCTTTTGTTTATGGGCCTTACTGCCCAGTCATGTGGCCTTTGTGCCCTCCAAAAATATACACTGACCAGCCACTTTAATAGGTACACCTGTACAATTGTATGGACTTCAATTCAACACTTCCACCTTAACATCTGTGTTTATGTGTTTACTAGACTACATTATATTTAGAGGTGTTCCTATTATTCTGACCCTCTCATGTACTGTTTCCCATGGTGTGCAGCAGTACATAGCCAAGCAACACTGGTACAAATAAGTTGAAACAATAATCAGCAGCAGTGGACAAAATCATAATAATGACCACAGGCAAAAAAAATCTGAGAAGCTGCTCAAAGATCAACAAACAAATGATCAGTCTCATTGCCCTACCTTTTTCTTCAGAGGTAAACCCAGAGGCTGCTTCCACTTTCTCCAGGATCCTCCTCAGCTTCATCACTTTAGTGGCACACACATACCCATATCTAGAGGACAAAGACCAAGGAAGGTTAGTTAGATACCCACATATAGAATAGCTACATTAGCTGTGCTAATGCATTTTGCACATTGCACTCAAGGCCTGATAAAGTAAGTAGTGCAACCAAAAGTATTTCAGATTCAGTACCACATGGGTCTCTTTTGTTTTGTTTTGTTGTCAGTTTAAACTGTGACTGAACTTCAGAAGCTTTAGCTTTCTTAAAAAAACATGCCTAAAACAGGTGATACCACTTAAAACCTTACAATATGTGTCAAAGTCAAAAACCTGCATTAGAGTACGTATGCAATAAACCTGTCCAACTTACATGCGCAGGGGGTTGACTATCTCTGTGCGTAACAGCTCTTGGGTCTCTCTGTAATACTCTACGTCAGTCTTTGACTGTGGTCTCAGCAGAACCGTGTCCAGTACAGAACTGAAGGAGAACAGACTGCAGAGCAGAATATAAAACGGATTAAATGAATAATTTATCTCTCTCTTATCTACATAACATAAACAGTGATTGAACAACATTATTTAGCTGATATTCACCTTCAGCTGATATTAAAATCCAGACATCATCAAAAAATATTACTTTTGTAAACTTCCATATGATGGACACAGTGCCATTTGGATTTGAACTGACTGTGTGCATAATATAAACAAACTAGAAGGTCTTTAACAATTGGGAATTTCACTGGTAGATGTTTATGGTCACATTTAAATACAGAATTCAAAACTTCAAACGGTTCACAGCATATTTAAAAGGCTATTTGTGGTTTGGGGAAGTAGTTGGGGTGACTGCTTTAATCTGTGGCAGTGTTGGAAGGAACAACAGATTTACCACTATCCACCAGTCAACTCACAGTCACTAGGTAATCCCCCTTGCCCCAGCCAATCAGAAAAGCCAAAACAGTTTACTAATAAGCCTCTTCCTCTGGGCAAACAGTACTGCTGGCTGAGGAAGCAGTATATAGTCAGTCAATATGACTGAAGTTGAACATGTTAATATAAAATGACATGACTGTAGCTGATAAAGTATTTACTCTTATACTAAAGAAGTACTGACCAGAAGAGGGTTGAATCCAGATAGCAGGAGTTGTAGTGGCCCTGGATGCCTTTCTTTTTTCCCACCATGACATCCAGACCATCGTTCTCTGTACGGGGAGGTGTGTTCTCTTGTACTACCTCACTTAGGTAACCCCCAAATGCTGCATAAAAAACACACACAGCACAGGTGACAACACAAAGATTTTAGTAAAAGCTCATCCGGAGCCTTCAACAACTCATATTTCACCTCCTGACTCACCAATTGAGTTGCACCGCTCTATGGGGTTAGAGGAGTGGTGCAGGGACGGGAAGCGAGAGTCGGGCCGACAGCACTTGAGCTTCACAAACAGGGCTTTTTTGGGTGGACACGTGAAGTACCGGGTGCCTTTGAAGGTACCATCAGTGCAACCAGGACACTCTTCTTCCTGGAAGAGGAGGTCAAGATCCCATCATTCATCATGCATACAGTTAAAAAAAAAAAAGTGTTGGGGGTTTCATTTATTCTGCCTTCACTTGTACTTAGAACCACCTGATCAGGTATTTTGTAACTTACTTCGTTTATCAGTTTTTGATGATCGTGCCTGGCTGTTTAATGATGAGTATGATCTAATTTGCAAAATATGTTTACTGGCTTTTTGTGGTGTGCAGTGACGTCCCAGAATCTTCGTCACCATGAGCCTAACAGGCAAACAGCAGAGAAACCCACTGTCTGGCACAAACCCCATGTAAAAACAGAACTTTTTTTTTCTCTCCAGCTTTTGTACAAATAAAATAAACCAGATATAGTGTATTAACTTGTGAGCTCTAATTGCATCAGAACCAAGCTAGAGTTTCCCTCAATCTCCAATCTTTATGCTAAGCTAACAGTTGTAGGCAGTAGCCTTACTGTATATTGAAAAGACAATATGGTAAAGATATTTACATCTAGTGTAACTTTCAGCAAGAAAGTGAATAAGTACATTTCCCAAAATATTATATTCTTTCTATAACTCAATCACGCAATGTTGTGATAAATTCATTTTTACTTGATCAGTTATGACATGATACTGGGCTTCAACACTGTGAGCAATATGATCAATATGGCAACAAGTCAACTATCAGCCTATCAGGCTCATCAACTGACCAGTAAATAGCAGCTAACCAGCATTATTAATTAAGGCTGGGGTGTGGATTCACCAGACAGATCAGGTAATAATCAACTGACTTGGTTGGCACCAAGCACTTTATGTGCCTATATATATTATGACATATATAGTACAGTCATGGCCATAAATATTGGCACCTTTGCATTTCTGTCAGATAACACATCACTTCTCCCAGAAAATTGTTGCAATCACAAATTCGTTGGTATTCTGATGTTTATTTCTTGCTAACACAAAAAGCAAAGAAAAAATTCAAATCTGATCCATTTCACAAAGAACTCCAAAAATGGGCTGGACAAATTACTGACACCTTTTCAAAATCATCAGAAATAGTTGTATTTCAAGCATGTGATGCTCCTTTAATTTGTAATGAAACTCACCTGTAGCAATCAACAGGTGCTGGCAATATAGAAATCACAGGATGCAACATTGTCAGCTAACACTATCCTTCACCACCTGAATGACAGATGGCACTGTGGTAGTAGACCCAGGGGCCCACTGCTGACACAGGAACATAAAAAGCCAGATTGGAGTTTGCTAAAACTTACACAAGGAAGCCAAAATCCTTCTGGGAGAATGTCTTGTGGACTGATGAGACTAAAATAGGGCTTTTTGGTCGGGCACATCATTCTACTGTTTTCAGAAATCGAAATGAGGCCGTCAAAGAAAAGAACACAGCCCCTACAGTCAAACACGATGGAGGTTCACTGATGTTTTGGGGTTGCTTTGCTGCTTCACACACTGGATGTCTTGACTGTGTGTATGGCATTATGAAATCTGAAGACTACCAATGAATTCTGGGTCACAATTTTGGGCCCAGTATCAGAAAGTTGGGTCTCTGTCAGAGGTCATGGGTCTTACAGCAGGACAATGAACCAAAGCACCAGAAATAGTTTCAGACAATGAGCTGGAGAGTTCTGAAGTGGCCAGCAATGAGTCCAGATCTAAATCCCATAGATCACCTGTGGAGAGATCTCAGAACAGCAGCTGGAAGAAGGAACCTATCAAATCTAAGAGACTTGGAGCAGCTGGCAAAAGAAGAGTGGTCCCACTTGTGGTGTGGGTGTAAGAAACTCACTGATGGTTACAGGAAGTGATTGATTTCAGTTATTTTGTCCAAAGGGTGTGCTACCAAATATTAAGTTGAGGGTGTCAGTAATTCTGTCCAGTCCATGTTTGGAGTTCTGTGTGGAATGTGTCAGGTTTGACTTTTTTTTTCTCTGCTTTTTGAGATGTTCCAATGTAAACAAAAGATAGAAACATGGGAATACAACAAAAAAAAAATCACATTTCCCCCGCCCCAAACTTACAGATAATGATAAGTATAACTTCCAAGTCTACATTACAGTGTTGTCTCACCAGCTCCAGCCCAGCCAGAGGCTCCAGTAGGCCTGGAGGCAGGCCCACCCAGCGAATGACACCACACAGAGGGGGGTTCTCCTTCACCTCCACCAGAGAGCCCACCTCAAGCCCTGGCTGTCCTCGGGGAGGTGTCGGGGGGCGTGGTGAGGGAGGGGCAGCAGGAGAAGGGGGCTCAGGCTGCTCTCCCATCACCGACTGGACAGACAGGGTATGAGGCCCATGATTCATGTTGTCAATGGGCCCAGTTTTCCGGTTCAGGCTGAAGGGCAGAGAGTGGAACTTGTTGTCACTAGACAATGAGGAAGAGGGCGGGGCTCTGGAGGGCGGGGACGACTGGTTGAAATCAGGGGGCGTGTCAGTAAGTGACTTGGCAGGGTCTTCCCCAACTGCAGGAGAGAAACCAGAAACCAAGACTTAATGTCCCTTTTACAGTGAACATGCATCTTGTTATGGGCAATATGCCAGCCTTTAAAAAGGAAGCTGAATATCCCTGTTTAACTGACCTCTGGCTCGAAGTGTGTTTATAATGCGAACACGTCAATCAACAAAGGTCAGTAAAAACAAGATTTTCAGATGATACTGATCGACTCTTTAACACCACAATCTGTAGGAAGAAAGGAGCCTGCACATTGGCAGCTGTGGGCATTTGTCTTTATAGACCTCACTACTGTAGAGGTTCAACAGACCACAGTTCTCATAAACTGAATGAGTAACACACTTTTAGCATTTCCACCTACTGTAACCAAAATGTTTGACTGTGTCTGTGAATGAATGGCATGTTTGTTAAGTTTTCAAATGTCTGGTAAATAATTTTAATGCTGGCCCACAGCCTGAGAACATTTTATTTTTAGGTGCCTATCATAAACATTCTAGCTATTATTTGGCAAAAGAAACTTACTGGTGAGATATATCAATATTTATATCATTACAAAACAAATGGAAGAATATGCAGTGGCACTAAATTCAACTTAGAGACACTGGTTGTGTAGCTAAGACAATGCCTGCTTGATATTTAGTTGAGAAGAACATACAATAAGTCTCTGTGTTAAGATATACTGTTGAGTGTATAATGCTGATAAAGTGATCCACAGCTCAGAAAGATTCTTCCATGTAAAAACTGTGGAAGATTAACCCCCTTTATTTCTCAATGAACACGCCTCTGTATGGACTCTATTTGGTCTAAGTGTGAAAATAAACTTAGCTGAGTCATGATGCCAAATGTGCAGACCCCTTTTCCCAACTGCTGCTGCTGAGAAATATGCTTCACTATGCTTTTGACATGAGAACCATCAAACCATGTGTATGTGGAAGAAGAGTGCCACCTCTTTAAGAATTCATGTTTGCACATCGCAGGACAGTTGAGTCAATACATACACGAATGCTCTTTGCTAAAACTAAAAATGGGAGTTCTGTGGCACCACTGGTCTAAAGACAACTTTTTAACAAGCAGAGAAACTGGAATTTAGCAGAACTAAAAGGCCGCTGAAATGATGTCCCATCAGCCTTCACACAATGTTAGCAGATTGTCAGTGACCAGGGTTTCTGCTCAGTGGTTTAGTGGCAGTTGTCATAATAATGTTAATTTAAACATTATAGACAAATCTTGAAATTCTGACTCATTATCATTAACACTCCAGCATATCATGGTTCAAGAAAGTCATATCATTTGTTATTATTTTTTGGACGGATCACATACTAACTAAATGATCATGCCAGACAAATAACAAGAATTCTTGAATTGGGTGACACTCACATGTAAGCAAGTACTGAACTGTTCGTGACTAAACTATTCCCACATAGAGAGAACCACAGGAGTGTGTAGCCTTGGCTGCTGAATTTGTGACAAAAATGAAAGCAAAAACAAAGAAAAATAACCCAAAATGTGTAAAGAAACCTTGAGGGGGATGAGAATGATTACACATCCACAGGATGAGTGAGCAGATGTGAAAAATGGCACCTCAGCCATTAAATGACTGACCTCTAATGATTTCTGTGATACAAACAATGAGTATGATTACATGCATTACTACTGAAATGATATTGCAGGCACTGACATATTCTGTTTTGCCTTGGCACACAGTAACACCCCAATCATTAATAACAGTCAAAAAATGATGAGCAGCCCAAATTTTAGAACCTGAACATCTCAGTATTTGTGACACTGCTAAGGGACATTGTCACATTTTCTTGTGTGTCTTGTTTTTATTGTTTTTATTGTCGTGTGTTTATTCTTTACTTTCTGGATGTGTTGGTGTCTCCATGTTTTAATGAAAAATTCTCTTTATGCATTTATCCAAGATTATCATCAATGTGACCATAAGAAGAGTACTTAATGTACCAACTGTTATTTACATGCAAGACATACTCAGAAGGCAATCTGCCTCTAAAATAAAGAATTCATTTGATGTTTAAAAAGCTCATCAGATTCTTCACAACTGACGTGTCATGACAAATGAAGCAGTTGAATTTCACAAAAAAAGGGACAAAATCAAACATATGTCATTACATAAGTGGAAATACAGAAACATGACAATGTGCTGTTTGATCCAGTCAGCCCTGACACAAGAATTAAAGGCTTTTACTAATGCTTTCACCTGCAAATAATATTACATAGAATCTTTTATATTTTAACTGCAAAACAAGATAACAGCCAGTTAAAGAGTCATTTGCAGCATTAAGCATTATTAAAAGCTTTAGGTGACACCAGTTTCTCCGTGCAGGTGAGATATACCAAAATGGTGATGAAAGACGAGACTAGTGCACAGGTCTTTATAGCAAGCTACTGCAACAAACCACTGCCTACTGGGCAAATTGTTTGGGGCATACACTTCTATAAAGCTTGTTATAAAGTTTCATCGCATAGCCTTTATTTGATGGTTTATTGTGACTTAAGGTTTCTAATTATAGGGGTAAATCACAATTCTGAAATACAAATGCACTCTGACACTGTTTTCTGAAGCATCTGTCATTTATCTTGCAGAACTCTGACATACACTCAACTTTGATAAACAATACAAAACATCCTGTTTTGTTTTTGTTTTTTGGAAGCTTATATATTTTGTTGATTATGCTTCTTGAGAAGCAAACAGACAAATCTCATGGTTTTGGTATGTTGTGACCTATGGGAAATACATCTACAGTCCATGTTTAAGATTTCTCTCGAGCATATACAGTACAAAAAATACCAAAAAAAAACTATGTTTGTTCATGATGAGTTGTATTTCTTATATCAGCCAGGGTGGTAAGGACAGGTGACTACCATGGTTTGAGCTCATCCGCTCTGTTTAGTTGCATCTGATAGGATAACTACTGAACAAATAATATGCAGTAGAAGGGTTTGGACATATGATCTTTCACAATTATAAACAAATTCCTCATTCTGTATTTTTTGTTAATATTTTTGGGTGTCTGGAACAGATTAATTGGATTTACATTATTTCTTATGGGAAATATTGCTTCAGTTTTCGTACGATTCGGTTTTCGTCGGACTTTTTCGAACGGATTAATCACAAAAACTGAGGTTCCACTGTACCTCATAATTAAATCTTACACTACATTTGAAATACAATAAAGTACAAGTATTCATGTAAATGATAGGTATACATTTATCAGTTAGCCTGTAAGAAAACCTCATGATTGTGACTTCACAATTCAGAGAAATCTTAAGTCACATTATTAAAAATAATTCCAAAAAACTTAATCATTTTTAAGAAATTATTATGTACCAATAGGTCTTTATCAAGTGAAAGAAAACACATTCCCAATCAACTTAACATACTTTATGCTACTTTTGAAACAGTTCAATTTAGAACAACCCACTGTAATGTTTTTTAGTACACGGGTCGCCTCGTGTGAATGAAACTACAAAGCACCTAGAAGAGTGTGCCATAGTAAAACCAATTAATATGTAGCTTGTTGTGAACAGGAGCTTGCTGATAGGTTGGCTGACATCCCGTGATTAACCATGTTTTACCTTCATCAATGTACCATGTGCTTTTGGATTTGGACTGGGCGGGGGGGTCAAGAGAGCTGCCATTTAAAGTATAGTAAAATTCAGACTTGCTCCTACTGCCACACTGTTGACCTAATCCTGTAAATAACACAAGTACATGTAAAAAACAAACAGATAAGAAATATGTGTGTGTGTGTGTGTGTGTGTGAGTGAGTGAGTGAGAGAGAGAGAGAGAGAGAGAAATAAGAGTAGAGAAGATTTTTCTCCATAAAAGAGACACAAGGAAAAAAAAAGAAATCATGGCAGTGACACATTCCATTCAAATCAAATCAATGCAATTGCAACAGGAAATTCACGTATTTTGTGTAAAATAGAGTTAGGCGTGACTTCTGTTATCACTTTCTTTTTAAAGGGACTTTCCACTAAAAATGTTTCACAAGTTGTTATTCATGGAGCTGTTTGCCTAAAATTTTTTGACCAAGCTGTCTTATTTACAGAGTTTTCAGTAACAGAGAAAAAAAATTGGATCATTAAAACAGGCAAATCAAAATTTGTAAAACAGCAAAAATCCTCAGGACAAAGTGTACATTACCAGTCAAAAGCTTAGACACACTTTCCTTTTGAATTGAATGGGCAAGTGCATCCAAGCTTTTGACTTGTAGTGTAGTTTGATGGCTTTTTATATATCCGTAATCACAACCAAACAATCTGATGGAATGCGCCATTTAGAGCTAGGGTCACGCCAAGCTGTGGGTATGTCAGTTAGTTTTGTATCACAACGGCAGTACCTTTGCTCTTTGGTTTGCTTTGGCCAGAGGATGACTTGTCACTGTTGGTGCCTCTGGGGGCAAAACTGTGCTTTTGCGGCCTTTGGTCCTGCATGGAATATTCTGCATAGCCCAGAAATACATGCGCATTAGAAGCATAACCCCTCTGACTGCCTACTGCACCTTAAACTACCATGCACCAAATGCCTTCCGCAGCCCACTTGCAAAGTATGTACCATTGTCCTTTTATGGTTTTCATTTTGGCACAAAAACAAACCCCAGAGCACTGATCATATTGTGCAAAAGAACTGCATTCTGATGTCATAAATACAGTGAAATATCTAGTAAATGGTGTCATAACTCTATTTTAATTTCCTAATTTATAAGAAACATAATTTTAACGAGTGACAGTTTAGCAGAAGTAATCTGCCATGTGGTGTATAATGCTACAGCCAGTGAAGTAATAACCTGTGCAACAATTTTAGCCAATAATAACAGATTGCACTGCTTAAGAAAGGTTGCTGGCTGAAGACAATTCATTTAAAAAACAGTCAGCAAACATGTACATACGGTATATAAAGTTTTCTTGCCTCTCACTGCACACAGGCTAACAGTCAGAAAGGGCAATTTTACATGTCTAGTATCATAAGCATGATCAATTAGGCACCAGTGAATAACAAATTCTGTTCAGGGGTAAGTTTTTAAAGGAGCATTATTTGGACAATTTGTACTTTGCCAGTCTGCAAATTTGCAAAATGAATCATACCAGTTTTCAAGATTTCAGTCTGAATAGTCAGAGGAGTAGCAGTAGCACGCATAAACAAATCAGTGGACCAATGGGGAAAACAAAGAGCCCGAGTATCTCACTAGACTTTCAAAAACAAGTGAGCCATCAAAACAAAAGGCTATCTGTTCTGGCTGCAAGCAAAACACAAATTCAGAATGCTTAGAAGGGGCTCAGTGCTGGTCCAAGAGATGGACAGCTGAATGTTTTAGGGAAACAATAAGGTTTGACAACATACATGTAGTATAATAACAGGGACAAATATTAGGTGGCTCACCTGGCATTACGTCACAGATGGGGACAAGTCGAGTGTGCTCCAAACTGGCAAAATTACACAGCAGCTTCCCATCAAAAACACCATCCCATTCCCCTATAGGATTGTCCTGAAAGAGTTGAAAACATTAGAACCTGGTAATCCTCTTAGGTGCGCTTCATCTCTGTAAAACTGAGCAACCTGCTCCACATGTGCTTCTTCCCCTCAAATCTTCCTGGTGATGAGTAAGGTCTATCGTGACGATCCAGCTGCTCATCTCATCTCCTGAACAACAGGTCTTCCACCTCAAGTCCTTTCACCCAAAGACTCTACCTTTTCTGCAAGCACAACCACACTAGTCTTCTTCTTTAGCTTGGAATCCACAATTCTGCTGGGAAAATTAAGATAAGCATGAGGCCAGTACCACAAGCTCAGAGAAGGCTGGGCGAGGCTGGATGCAGAGTGAGGCAGAGCAGTGGGCTCTTCTCAACTGCTTGCTGGCCCCTTGCCACGCTGTTGGTCATACAGCATTATGTCTTTACCTCACTCCCCATGTGACTGCCTTGCCTTTGTGTGGGAGGCTCAGATGCACTGAGTGGGCTGCTGCTGCTGCTGCTGCTGCTGCTGCTGCTGCTAACTATCAACAGTCAAATGCCTCAGTTATGTGTTTCAATCTATCTATGACTACAATACAATTCCCGCCTGACAACAGTAGTCATAGAGACCAACTACTATGATCCCAGGCAACAAGATATGTTCCCTCAACATATAGAAGAACAATCAAAAAAAATCATATAAAAGAAAAACAAAAACATGGGCAAGTGATGGCAGAAAGCCTGAGATCCACACTGACTATGATCATTTGGCTTAAGGCTAAAACCTGTGACTTTCTGCATGTTGTCACCCTCAAGTGAAGCAATGATTAGTGAAATAATGACCAAACTACAACTTCAGCATCCACAGCTGTGACTGTTATGTCCTCTCACTCTTTTTTATATAAAATGCCATTTAGCTGAATGTGAATGTCACATTGACAAGGTAACAGCATTTTTTATTTCAGTCAGGGAATTAAACACTGCAGAGGCATAAGATGATATACATTTCACAATACGGGAATAAGGTTTCCTTCCTGTGTGATTACATGGATGTATAAAGGAGAAGTGGATAATGGATTACAATATGCCACCCAATCCATTCTTATGAACGCTATGAACACAAATTCTGGCCATAAAAATTACCCAGATGTTCCACACACTTCAGTGTTTTGGGCCCATAGAGCATGTGCACTAGCGCCGAGCTAGCTGACTTCTGTATGGCTCCCTGCACACATGAACAGGATAAAATAGAAATATCTCTTCTAGACTTTCCAAATGATACTGGATCCAATAGATTCAATTCTGATAATAGAGTCATTTTGCTGGGTGTGCGCGAGGCTTGGAAAAATTTATTCACCGTTTTACAGCTGCTCGTCTTCACTGATTCTCTATGAAAAAATGCTTTTTGGGTCAGTGTGCATCATGTGCAGCACCTTACCCAATATGTTGAACTTTTCCAGATAACTCAGTGAATACACTAAAATGCCTCTGATCTTTTTTTTGCTAATCATGTTGATTGTTTTGTCTCACCAACAGTTCAAATGCTGTTTTTAAATTATGATTTTTTGTGCAGCACCTACCATGTCAACTCCCACATAGTAGCCCAGGCTCTCATTGCCCGGCAGCAGGTCACAAAAAATGATGGTGCCTCTCTCGGGTCCTTCCCTGGTCTGCACTAACACCCTGGAGTTGATCTCCAGTGGAGGAAAGTCCTGGTCTTCCACCAGATTCATGTGGTCCACCTCTAGCTCACCCAAAGCTTCATCATCATCATCCTCCCAGAGTTCAAGCTTGTCCAGGGCCACAAACACACCGCACTCATCCTCGCAGCGGAATAGTTGGCGGCCCTGATAAGAGCCCTCTGTGAAGCCTTGGCCTCGGCCCTCCTCCTGGGACAAGAAGGTAGAGGAAAGGTGATGAAACAAGTATAGAATGTAAGACAGAACAGTAGCAAGTGAGATCAGCAACTTATTGTCATCACAAGGAGCGCGGATAGCAAAGCTGCTTGCTCAGCATTCTCAGTGAAGGAAAGTCAACATCACAGAGCCGTGAGAGCTTAAGATTGATTACTGCAGCAGAAATGTGACTTACTGCTATGATAAAAAATATATTAAAACATTCAAAAATATCAAGTATGGGTACAAGATGTTCTCTCAACCAATACTGTAACAGGCTTTGCTTCTTTACTCACATGCAGGCTTTGGATATTAAAAGCATATGTGCAAAATGTGATGCCTTTATATTGGGCTACAGTTTAATGCTTGAGCTCCATCAGCCCACTCAAGAAGATGAAAGCTGGACTCAGTAAGATAAAAACAACATTGTGCTGCAATAAGCAATTTTGTATTTTGTTACTGTCTTTACATACAGCCAGAATGAATGGCAAAAAAGCAAATAATCAGATGTAGTGCTGAGATTAAAGGATTGGTTAATACAAAAATTAAAATGTTATTACCTGCTTATATTCACATCAGTGAAAACACTGCAGCCTTCACTCATATGCAGCAACATCAGTAGCCACTCCCTATCAATCAAGTTTAAGGATCGACAGAAATTGGCAAATAACTTTGTGGAGTATAACTCAAGGAATTTGAAGCCAAACAACAAAGTAGGGTTGGGTACCGTTCACATCTTAACTGATACCGGTACTGGGACCTGGAATTCGGTACCAATACACAACAATCCTCTTTTTGGTACTTAACTCTGTAATAACAAAAAATTTCAGTTTTAAAAGAACAAGTCCTAACTCCTCAAATTCAAAATTTTTATTTATTTAGAATGTTCCACACACCACACAAAATAAAAGTAAAACCCTGGTTTTACCTGTCATTTTATAAAGGTACTATAATTTTTTATACATGTTCTTTTATACAGTACTTTTGTACTATTCATAAACTATTTCACTAATATAACTTAAATCGCTAGTTTGATTTTTTGCACAGTTTAGCCTATTGCCTAGGCACCTGGTCTTTCCTTACTTATCCCTCTTATAGCCTGTGCTTACTGGTCATATTGAACCTTCATTACTACTGACTGACAACTGATTTAACATGAATCAATACTCAGTAGTGCAGATGTACTGTAATTTAGTAGGTACCCTTAAAAATACAAAGTTTGGCAAGTTCTAAATTCACCATGTGCTGTATTTCACTTAATCCCACATTTTCTACAGGTTGAAACCTACAGTGGGGCAAATAAGTATTTGATACATCGCCGATTTTTCAAGTTTTCCCACTTACAAAGAACGGACAGATCTGTAATTTTCATCGTAGGTACACCTCAACTGTGAGAGACAGAATCTACAAAAAAATTCCAGTAAATCACATTGTTAGATTTTTAAATAATTTATTTCCATTTTATTGCATGAAATAAGTATTTGATCACCTACCAACCAGCAAGAATTCTGGCTCTCACAGACCTGTTAGTTTGTCTTTAAGAAGCCCTCCTATCCTCCACTCATTGCCTGTATTAATTGCACCTGTTTGAACTTGTTACCTGTATAAAAGACACCTGTCCACACACTCAATCTATCAGACTCCAACTTCTCCACTATGGG